AGTACCTCTCCTATGGGGACAGGCTGAGAGAATTGGGCTGGTTCAGCCTGGAGAAGACCAGGTTCCGGGGAGACTGTATAGCAGCCTTCTAATTCCTGAGGCAGCCTACGAGAAAGCTGGAGTGGATGCCCCATTCCTGGCTGTCTTCAAGACCAGGCTGGATGAGGCTTTGAGCAACCTGGTCTAGTGGAAGGTGTCCCTGCCCATGGCAGGGGGGTTGGAACTAGATGGTCTTTAAGGTCCCTTCCAACCCAAACCGTTCTGTGATTCTATGATTAAACAAACCTTCCTGTAGTTGAAGCACTTCCCGGGATAAAAGGTAACGTGTTGCCCTGTCCAACACAGTTGTGTAATGCAGCACAAATACAAAAGGATGTGTTTTGCCACAGGTCCTTGTTTTGACAATGTTTGTCCCAAGAGAGAGGTCAGCTAAGGCTCTGCTGCCCTTTCCTCTGCCAGCCATTACATTGTGGAGCTGTCCCTAAACCAACAGACTCTTGAACATTTGAGACTTTCCAAAAGGATATGAAGTCCAGGTCAACTTACAGCCCAAAGCCTTTCATCCAATCACAACAACCCACGCAGAACTCAGGTTTTCTTCTCATCCATACTGCTGCTCTTTTGCCAGTAGGAAGGAGCAGGTTGATTGTTTCATGTTTTCTTGCTCAGAGGGACTGCCAGTGATTGTTTAGCTGGTTGCCATTGCAGACCTTGGTGCCGTAGCTATCAATGATGGTTTCTCTTTCAGTTGTCTTGTATGTCTGTGTTCATTCCCCAGTCTGAAGAAAATGAGGTGTCTGGTCAAGCTCCTTCAGACAGGAGCTCAGAGCCCACCTGGCACCTTTCTGCAGCAGCACTGTCCCATTCTGAAGAGACCAACGTTGTTGTCTGCAGCGCTGCCTTGATTGTTCACAGACTGTTCGACAGGGATATGCGTACCTCACTGTTGCCAGAGTGGATTTCTCAGCAGGATCATGTGATGACCTTGGTCACAAGTCTCACACTTACTCACTGCATTTGTTTAGCAGCATACACAGCACCCAGAGTCTGTGGCTATACAGCTTCTGGACCAGTGCACACAACAGTCCCTTTATCAGACACCCCAGCATATGTGAAGTCCCATATTCATCCCTCAAATCCCTGGGTTCAGCCAGCAGCCAGGGAGAAGCTGTGGATGGTCTTACCTCACTGGGTCTTCAAGAGGCAGCAAGGTAACCAGTACCTGGTATACACATGGTGCAGGTCAGTTGGCCACTGGTGGTGGCACAACTAGTTTACTGGCTGTGCCATATGGGAGCATAGTTAGGAGGGTCCCTCCTAACTCCCCTTTCAGACAAGACTGACTGTGGCAGCCTGTGGCTGGCACTTCTCATGTCACCATGCCTGTCACCTCACCTCCCACTTCTTGCTGGAAGGTTGCCAGTGCGCCATTATCTTGGCACGTGCTCCCAAGAAAAACAGCATTTTTAATTTTGCACAAAATAGCATAAACTAATTTGGTTTGTTTCAACACAGACATCATTGCATGAAGCCTTCCTCTCCCTGACTAGCAGCCTACTGAGCTCCTTAATAATATTCCTGACATGTTTCCTGCCTCCCCTGCAGGAAAAGACTGCTGCAGAAAAGGAGAGGAGAAATGTCACTGCACAAAGCTCCATGCCAACATGTCGGCTTTGCAGAAAAGAACTGGAGGTCCTGGCAGACACCAAGTTGACCGTGAGTCAGCAGTTTGTCCTTGTGGCAAAGTCAATGGCATCATGGGCTGCATTAGAAAAAGCATTGCCAGCAGGTAAAGGGAGGTTGTGCTTCCCCTGCTGGGACCACAGCTAAGCCCTGTGTCCAGCTGTGGGCTTTCTGGCATGAAAGAGATATGGATGTACTGGAACAGGACCAGGGAAGAGCCACAAAGATGATGAAGTGTGTACAGCATCTGTTATGAGAGGAGAGGCTCAGAGAGATGGGACTTGTTACCCTGGAGAGGAGAAAGTGCAGGGAGGGATCTTCTCCATGTGCATCACTTACTTGATGGGATGGTGAAAAGAGATGGAGCCAGATTTTCTCCAGTGAGAGGCAAGAGGGAATGGACACAATGGATAAATTCCACTTAAACATAATAAAATACACTTGTTTATGGAGAGGGGGGCAAAGCCAGGTTGCCCAAAGAGGCTCTGGAGTCTCCATCCTTGGAAATATTCAAAACCCAGCAGGACATGGTCCCAAGAAACCTGCTGTAGCTGACCCTGCTTGAAGCAGGGAGCATGGAATAGGCAGTCAGCAGAAGTCACTTCCAATCTCAGCTATTCTGTGATTTTGTTTTATTGATAGAGGAAGATCTCAAGGGGGATGGAGACAGCAGGGGTACTGCACAGGCACATGCCAACAAAGTACTGTGGTGTAGATGAGACACTCGGGATGACAAGTCTCACAGAGGAGTACTCTTTCCATGTTGTACGTCACCTCGTACTGGGAGGCCTTTGGACCTCTCTTTCTGATTCCTGAAGGTGTGTTAGTTGCACCAAGAGGTACAGAAGGTTTCAGACTTTTTCTTGCCCCCCATGTGTTACCTGCCAAGCCTTCCGTGTGGTGCTGCACAGCAGTCTGGGAGAAACAGGGCTTCAGTTCTTCAGAAAACAAAAATGCCAGTAGCAACAAGGAGAATTTCAAGGTTTATTTATTTTCATTTTTTTTAAAATGACAATTTTTGGAGCACTTTAATATTGTTAAAGTTCTAGCCTTTTATTTTAAAGCAAATACGCTCAGCTGCTTATTGGCATGAGGCCCAAGAGTGTGCCTGGGAAATGAACCCTGCCAGATGAAAGTGCAGAGGTCCTCAGGCAGAGCATGGCATCCAGCTGTGCTCCTGGGGCACTGGCACCTTTCCACTGCATGCTTGCTCGGAGAGAGAGAGCATGGAGAGGCTGTACCACAGACCCTGTCTCTCTGGGGCACAGGAAAGGCTGCTTCTCCCAAATCTCCTCAGGGCTTTGGAGAGCTCAGAGGCCAAGCAGGCATTTGTCATCCCACTGGCCTGGTGTAACACCCTCTTCATGGGGAAATAGTTTTCCACTGCCCTTTAAATACTGTGCTTCCTCTCTGGTCTGTGGTGGCCAGGCCAGGTCCTAGCGGTTGGTACTTTGTCGCAGGTTTGGTCCAGTATTGCTGAATTTCCACTTGTTGCTGCCTCCTGTTTTCCCTTTTGATAAAGGGGAAGCTTTGTACTTGCTTGTAAGCCTCATGACTCCTTTGATTTTTTCCCATTCCTTCATTTTGACCTTAGTTGTCATTCAGGAAACACCGTTGGTCACTGAGGCATATCCTTGTACTTTAAGCGTTTTCCAGTTTAATAATCATAGGAAGGTTAGTTTGCAAATGTAACCCTTTTCAAGTCCTCTTATTGTTTAGGTGCACGGGCTTTTAAATTTAAGACTGGATGAACTGTTTCTGGCTACAAGAGATGAAAAAGGTGAATAAAGAGCTTATGGTAAACCTTGAGATGCTGAAATGTTGCCTGTCTTAGAACTGTTCATAAGTGAACAGCTTTCATTTCTAAAGAACAAAAATTAAAACGTTTATACAGAGAGGAATCAAACTCTAGAGGTGTGCATTTATGCCTTTCATAAACGCCTAGGAAACTTCATATCTTCATGCTTTATTCATTCTAAAACCAGGATTTTGTACTAAATCCCATTTTACTCACAACAGTTACCAATATAATTATATTCTAATGGTTTGTGGTCCAGAAAATATAATTCTCATGACAAGCATTTGTGATTTTCTTTTATTGTGTTAACAAAAAAAATCAATTGTATGCATCAAAATCAATAATGTATGATTAGAATGAAAACAGGACATACTATTGAGCCAATATAACCATATTTTCAGATGGCAGTGGACACAGAAAAAAAAAAGAGAATGTTGGGATTCTTATGTATTTCTTAAAAACGAGAGATGTATCCCTAACTATCATAGGAACAAAGAAGTCCAGATGCATTCATGGAAGAATAACATACTCAAGTTTTGAACTTCATCTGTGGGCTTTCCAGGGACTAATTGAAGTTTACTTGCTAAGCAAGCTCAGCACAGACAGGGATTATTTTGAAAGCTGTGTTTTTTCACAAAAATCCCATGGAGAAATCAGGTTCTTTAATACCACTTGAAGGATTTTTCACAAAAATCAAGATTTTCACAGATTTGAAGTGTCTTCCAATGTTTTAAACAAGAATTCAGACCGATCTTTTGCTTGAAGGTTCTCACTGAGTTCGGGATCATATGGATCATCCCGATATGCATGATTCAGGCTTTGAATCTACACTCTGTAAGAAGGCATAACTTCACCTACACAAACTCAGATTTCTTCTCATTCTCTGAAGTGAAAGGAAGACTCTCCATGACTTTGGAGAAACGTTGCAAGAAGTTCAGAATTTGGTGAGGAACTCATGGTGAGAGGACAACTCTGCTGGCAGTGGACATGTACACACTTTCCCAATGGCTAAGTAAAAAAAAATTAAATTTGCATAGGCACTAGTCAACTTGCATATCAGAATCTTATCCACAAGTACCTCCTCCAGACTGGAGATCTCAAAGCCTGTGTTTCAGGAACAACAACATGGGTTTGTCAGCAGGATGCTACCAGGGAATGGGATGAGCACACTAAAGGACTGACAAAGACTTGGAATCATGCCTGCAACTTGTTCCTCGAGTGAAAATTACTTGGCCCCTTCCTGGCTAGTGAGTGCCTCTATTCACTGATGGCTCAGTCCTTGCACAGCTCAAGCAATTCTGAAACCAGTATCAGAAGGGAAAGGAGTAAGCATGCTTGCTGCTGTTTCCTCACCTGCAGGTGTGTCTTTGCTATGGAAGCTTCCCTAATGGGCAATTCTTAGATTAGGCTTCCCACTCGGAGAAAAAATTGAGAAGAGATGAGATTACACTATAATGTTATGGTAAAGAAGGCCTGTTTCTGAGGGAAAGGCAAGCATTATTTCCAGTTCTTTCTTTCTTTAGGGGAAACAATATCTACCGAAGAAGAGGATGCTGTTGGTCAGATTGTGTTTGATCAAGAAAAGGAAAGGATGGTCAGCCCTAAACTCTTCAGTTTCAGGGGAATGCTTGAAGTCTCCCATCACACCTGCTGAGCCAGCCATCTCGGAGCCCTCTTCATTGACTTCCATGTACGCCTCATGGATGGCCTCGGATATCTTCAGGCTCTCTGCTGAGGAGATGCCAGACAGGTTGGCCGAAGGGCTGAACAGGTCGGTCATGCCCAAGGCCACCAAGACAGATGTGAGGTTATATTTTTCCTCAATCTTCATGCGCGGGAGGCACACTTTCACTCTCTTCTTCTCCATCACATTTGGGCTGGTCCACTCCGTAAGTTTTTCAAAGCTGATTTTGCTCTCAAGCTGCAAAGGGAGGCAGGGAATGAAATGCCTGGGATTTGAATACAACTTCTTCCTATCATTCACTTTAATCAAAGATATAATCCAAAAAGCAAATCTGAATCGTTCCTGAATTGAATGCTACCAGCATCCTTTTAGATTATTATTTGACTCTCCAGTACCCCCCATGTCACTGTCCTTTTATTCAGTCCCTTACCCACCTGACACAATCTTGTGTCTGGTGAGGCACAACGCCATAGTTTCACACCCTGGCAAATTAGTCAGCTTGTGAAAGAGAGTGCAAAAAAGGCTGTGAAAATTTGCCTACAGTTGATAGCACCTAACAAATGCAAACTCTTCTACATCTTTAACAACTACTTCATAACAAAATTTTACAAAAATGCTGAAATAAAAATAATGGATTATATAGTGCAGGCTGCTTCCCTTTTTCCCTTTCTTTAGGTAATTTGGGAACACATTGATAACATTATTTTAAATGATTGACACTGGAATTCTGATTTTTTTTGCTACTTCTTTCAGAAATCCTGCATGATGGTTATCCAGTCCACCTGACTGAGGCAAATTAAGGTTTTGAGTTTGTTTCTTCCTTGCATCTGTCCATTTTTATTTCCTCTTTGCAGTTAGCATCCTGCATTCACTCAGTGGTTTAGCTTCATTTTCCTCCAAGACAAAGACAAAATATTCATTTAGTTTTGCATAGTCAGTAGATTATATTTGTATTCTTGCCTCACTGCATATTGGTCCACTTTTCTCTTATTTTTCTTTAAAGCACAAGCCCCTCTTTTTACTTGCTTTCATGCAACTGGCATAAAAGTTGTGCCAGAGGAGGTTTAGATTGGATATTAAGAAAAATTTCTTCACTGAAAGGGTTGTCAGGCATTGGAATGGGCTGCTCAGGGAGGTGGTGGAATCACCATCCCTGGAGGTAGATGCAGTGCTCAGGGACATGGTTTAGAGTGGGCTTGGCAGTTTTAGGTTGACGGTTGGACTTGATGGTGTTAAAGGTCTTTTCCAACCTAAATGATTCTATTATTTCCTTTCCATTTCCATAGAGATGAAGTCTTAATTGATGAAGTGTTATTGATCAGTTAGTTTAGCTTCATTAGTTTCAGCATTTCAAAATCAAGAATATTTTATTAAGAACATGCTTTACCTAACTTTGGGTTTAATTCTATGACAACATATTTTTGAAAGCAGTGAATGTATGGTGTTTAATGAGGATTTTGTTAAAGTCATTAGTGATTCCTGCAAAGAAAGCCTAATTCTCATCTGTTTTAGCAACATTTCCTCAACAGTTTATAAAGGCGGGGG